CACAGGGAAATTGAAGGCAGTGATGATTCCCACCAGGCCTAATGGATTCCACTGTTCAATAAGAGCATGGCCAGGCCCTGAGGTGTATAAATATTCACTGAGTGAACATATTTGTTACAAATAAAATCCTAAGCCATTTCTCTTCAGACCAAAGAGTATTCCTGATGCTTCTGCAGATTACCTCACAGAGCCAAAGGATTAAGAACATACTACATAATGTAAAACAGAACTGTTCATGACTACACCACTTTACCAACTATACTAGTGTTCATTATACCTCATACCTCAGGAGCTGCAGACGTAAGGGCATTATGGATCCCATTTGGAAAATAGAGACATGTCATAAAATAGTAGGAGGTTCCCCGCAAGAGATGTGAGCACAGAGAGTAACATATAAACAGAGCACAGAACATCCCATTCTCAGGTCTGTGATCTTCATGTTGTCTCTTGACCTCTCTAACTTCAAGACAAGAAAGCTCATGTTTCAGGCTCAGGTTGGATGGATTACAACATGGAGGCCAGAGGACAACAAAACCCAGTTTTCTTCTTCCACTCTGGATCCTGGGAATGGAATTGAAGTTGTCGGGCATCCTGCTAAGGCATCTTGCTGGGTCCACAGAAGAGTGAGTGTTTGAAGCTCTGTATCATGACACAAAGCATTAACCTTAACTGACTCCAGGCTTACTTTCAGAAGGCAAGGTGGGCCCCCCGATCATCCTCGACAAGCCAGATGCATAATCACAGACGTCCACATACTCCTGAACCTCTCCTATTCCTTCCACTAAGATTTTCCCCATCTCCAAAGACACCTAAAAATAGAAAAATCCAAGCAGAGTTTGTATATTACACATTAAGCTGAGGACAAAATAAAACATTTTATGCAGGAAATAAACTAGGAAATCTTTTCTTTTGAATTTTTTTTATTTACTTGCCTTTTTGTCTTATTTTAAATATATTATTGTTTATTAATTCTTTGACAATTTCATTCATGCATCATCTATCATGTTTTCATGACTTAAACCAAGTAAATTTTTTTTTTTACTTTTCTCTCTTTCCTTTAAAAAAAAAAAAGGATTTCAAAATTTGTTTTTCTTAGAGCTGGAGAGATAGCTCTGTGTTTAAGAGCACTGACTGCTCTTCCAGACATCCTGAGTTTAATTCCTAGGAACCACATGGTGGCTCACAACTATCTATAGTAAAATCTGATGCCCTCTTCTGGCAAAGAGGTGTATATGCAGACAGAGCACTCATACACATAAAATAAATAAATAAATCTTTAAAAATTTTGTTTTTCTTAAAAATCATCATCTTAGGACACACCTGTAAGGTTAATCTTTTTAAATCTGATTCAACCTAGTGAGGCAAAGAAGCACACAGAACTCCAGCAGTTAGGAGTCTGAGGAAGATGGATCACTTGAGCCAAGGCTAGACAACACAGCAGAAACCTCAGTCTCAAACAAAACAAAACATGTATGAACTCAGGACAGTCTATTCTTGACTAATACTCAAGAGATCACTAAAAGACTTCAAAAATACTTTACCAGTCTTCCCAGTAATTGGATCTTCTCCCGCAAGGCATCGCCAATCTTTCTGACTATTTCTCCTCGCTTTGGGGCAGGAATCTAAGAAAAGAGTGGAATTTTGATGTCAAAGACCATGCCTGTGTCAGAAGTGCTCCGCAAAAGAACAGACTGCATGTAAATCACAAGAGGCTTTTTGGGTCACTGTGATACGGCTAACATCCCTGGAGCCACCACTTCTGAGAAGCATGGACAAAACCGGCAACAAACCGTTACGGATCTCGAAGTGGGAGAGAAGTGAAAATCAGGAATTTAAGGTCACTCTCTGCTATGTAGTAAACTCCATATTAATCTCAAGGCCAATCTGGGCTGCTTCCTGAGACCTTTTCTTAAAGGAATAATTAATAAATAAGGAGAGAAAGCAGATCATAGGCTGGAACCCACTCCCCACCCGTCCTCGTAACACCCCACTCCATCCTTCAGAGCCCCACTGAGCTGCAAGCTGAAGGCTCCATTTTGCTCTCTTTCCCCAGAGCACCCATACTTCTTAGATCAACTTTTGTGGACGACAGCATGGGAATGTATCATGTTGGAAACACTCTTACTCTTGGAGCAGGCAGCTCCTCATCCAGCAACTGAGCTTGTGTGCTAAAACAAACAGATAAAACAGCAACCACTGTACACTTTTCCTAACAGAGAACGTGACGTGTGAACTACACAACAGCCATAAAAGGATCAATCTCTAAAACGAATGGATGGGCATGTAAGAAAAGCACAGAGGAACTTCGATGGTGTAACACTAAGTACAAACACTTAGTGCAAACATTCAACCATTGAGCCATCCCTCCAGCACCAAAAGTAAGTATTTATGTAGATTTTCTGTGTGTGAGGGAATGATGGATGGAAAGGTCAGGGGACAACCTGGAAACCTGGAGTAGTTGGTTCCTTTCTCCTACCATGTAGATCTTGGGGATAGATCTTGGGTTGTCAGGCTTGGCAGTAGCTGCCTATTTCCACTGAATCATCTTGCCAAGTCAGTCATCTTTATGATACATGTCCTCCTTGTAACAGTAACTGAATAGCACAGATCCATCCTTCCTAGAAGGGCATAGGTGTCTTCATATTTCTTATGAATTTAGCTGACACAGTTGACAGTCAAGCCACATTGTTGAATATCAGCTGAGATCAAGTATATATGTCCTCTACCTTCCATGAGTTAGACATTTTTTAAAAATAATTATGATTTATTTTATGTGTAGGTGTGTGCCTCAGTGTATGCATGTGCACTATATGTGTGCAGGAGCCCACAGAAGTCAGCAGAGGGCCTCTGATCTCCTGAAACTGGACTTACAGGAAGTTGTGAGCTTCAACATGGGTGCTGAGAACTGAACCTGATCTTCTGCAAAAGTAGTAAGTGCTCTTGAGCACTGGGTCATCCTCCAGTCCCATGGGGCAGACACTTAACTCCAATCAGTCTCATGGCTACCAAACAACTGCCTGGGGGCATCACTGTAAACAAGAGAGCTCTAATTCTCATGCAGTAGAAGGATAATTCAGTGACGCGGCAGAGATAGGAAGTGGCAGACTACACGAAGGGGAGCAAGGTTGTACAGTTGGAGCAGGACTTGCCAATCAGTGTTACTATGGGAGACGGGAGGAAGGCCTTTAAAGTGTAGAGCAAAGACTTAAAACATGACTGTCATCAGCCAAGTAAAAAGACAGAGAAATCAGAGGGAAGTGCAGGGCCTGGGCAAAGGCCAAAGGCAGAGAGAATGTAGTCATTTTCAAGAGCAAAGAGCTCAGAGAAGCAAGAGAAGAAAAGAAGCAGCCACATGGCCAAGGGCCAAAGATCTAACAAAAGGCATGGATCACAGGAGATTTTAAAAAGGAGGAAAAAAAAACAACCATCAAAATACACTTCAGTGTATTGCTCTAGGACCAGTTGTAGAAAGTGACTGCAGAGAGACAGGTCTCGTGAAGATCATCAGGTTAGACAAGAGCTAGTACGAAGATGGCAATAGACAGTGTTGTAGTTTGCAGTGTATTTCCAGGATAGATGCTAATGTCAGGGCTCAATGTGGTTTGCAGGCGGGCCCTCGGGATAGGTGAAGTCTAAGGGAAGAAGCTATGGCTTCATTACGGCCTGTAGGAGGAAGAGTCACCTGCCTGAGTACGATGTCTGTCCTGTCTTGGGATTTTATTATATAATCATCACAGAGACTTATCACCAGATCTGGCCCCTCAGCTTAGGACTGCCCAGCCTCCAGCTCTATAAAACAATTAATGTCTTTATAAATTACCTTGTTCCTGGTACTCACTTAGAGCAACAGAAACCAGACTAAGACATAGCCATGTATCTTAAAATGTTCAAGGTTTGATAGTTGGCAACTGATTCACCACTGATTATTGATCAGTTATGCAGTTTTCCCAACTAGACTCTATGCCAGAGCGCACTAATAAACAACATCACCTAACCTGGCATCTTTCGCTTTAGTTTCAGCTTCCCAGATTATCCTCAGGAGGGACACGGAGTGAGAAAGCATGAATTAGGGTTTGAAGAGGACAGGAAGAAAGGAATAAGGAACATGGAAGAGAGCTACATTTCTAGCATCAATAACAAGTGTAGCTGGAATCACAGCTCAGTTGGTAGGATGCTTGCCTAGCATAAGTAAGGCCATGTGTTCAATAACTGTCACTGAATAAAGCCGGACATGTTAGCAAAGTCGGACATGTCAGGAAATGGAAGCAGAGAGATCAGAGGTAGCAGCCAGTCTGGGATACACGAAAGTCTACCTAGCTCAATGGACAAGAGTACCCACTGCCAAGCCTAAAGACTTGAGTTCAATCCACAGAACCCACATGGCAAACAGAGAGAAGTGACCTCTACCTGTGCATGGCACATGTGTAACCAACCACATACGTACACAAGATAAATTTTTACAAGTAATTATAAAAGTTGGGGGGTTAAGTATACTTGCTGCTCTTAGGATCAGGGCAATATTCCTACCATCTCCATGGCACCTGGAAACTGTCATTCCAGCTCCAAGGAGCTGACCCTCCTCCAAGGGCACCAGGCATGTACACAGTACACACATAGATATAAAATGAAATAAATAAATCTTTTTTTAAAAAAACTGGGAAAAGAAAAACCTCCAGGACCCTGTCCCTAGGTCCACATGAGAAGTCCTAAGCACTATACACTCCCCACCCATGAACTAACTCCCTTCTAGAATAGCCAGAAGGCAGCAGAGGAAGGAAGAACGCAGACTGAGGGCACGCTGATACACAGCTTTAGTTTCAGCTCTGGGAAAGCTCAGACGGGAGAAACACTTGAGCCCCGGACATCAAATCCAGCTTGTGTAACAGTGAGATCTGCTCATAAAGAAACAATCATATGGGAACACTGATACATAACAGGGGCACACACACAGCTCCAGTGATCTGGTATTGGTTTCTCTTTACAGTTACGAGAAAGGATCCATTTCTGACCTCAAGGGACAAAAGAGTTTTCGGCTCTTCATCACTAGCAACAGAGGGGAAACTGAGGACACACAAGGGACATGGAGGAGCAAGGCGAGGAAAGTCCTAGATAGAGCTCATGCGTGAGAAGACAAGTCTCAGTCCTAGCCAGGTTCTCTGTGGTAGCTGTAATCAAGAAAAAGGAATCCGTTTCCAGCCAGGCATGGAGGTGTGTAACTCTAACACCAGCACTGGGGAGGTGAAGGCAGAGCTATCAGGAACTCAAGGCCAGCTGTGGCTATATCAAGCTGGAGGCTGCCCTAAGCTACGTTAAACCCTCTTTCTCAAAATAAACAAATAAAGCAGCTTTTATAAATTTCTTTTATATTTATCTTTGTTGTTGTTTACTTGTTTCTGGCACACTTCTGTGGATTTTTCCCTTTGTATTTACTCTTCTCTCATATATTACGACCCAATGGCAGTTTCCCTTCCTCCTTCCTGTCTGTCTTTCCCTCCATTTCTCCTCAGAAAAGAGCAGGCCTTCCAGGGACACCAAGCAAATAAGGCATAACAAGCTACAGTAAGACCAGGCACATATTCTCATACCAGGGCTGGACAAGGCAACCCACCAGGAGGAACAGGGCCCCATAGGCAGATAGGAGAGTCAGAGACAGACCCTGCTCCCACTCTTAGAAATCTCATAAGAACACCAGGCTACACAACTATAACATATACACAGAGGACCTCTCAGACCCATGCAGGCTCCCTGATCTCTGTAAGCCCACTTGAGTAACACTGAGTTGATTCTGTAGGCTGTGTCCTTGTGGTGTCCTTGATCCCTCTGGCTCTGCTGATCCACCCCTTCTTCTGCAGGACTGCCTGAACTCTGCCTAATATTTGGCTGCAACTGTTCACTTCATTATACCTTGTTTTTATCTCCCTTAAAGAGAAATGTTCGCTTTGAAATTTCTAGGCATAACTGGAATGAAGCAAACCAGTGTTCTGTTGTGATGCAGGCAAAGCCAAGAGAGGAAAGAGGACAGCAGAGAGCCTCATGGGAAGGATCCTTCAGAGGCTGCAGACCAGGACAGCCTGCTCTGATGTTTTTGTCTGAGGCCCAGTTATGCCTTCTCTAAGTCACTGCCACATTGACCAGAGCGCAAGAGGACTGTTAGAAAAAGCTGTATCTGCACTAAACTTTGAACTCAATTGCTCAACTCCAATTCCAACAAGTTGATCCTTTAATGGCCTAGCTTATTCATCTAAGAGTGACCTTCCTGACTTACTCAGCAACTCCTCCATCTGGAGCTCAAAAATGTGCAAGCTGCTGAAGGAATGCCGAATACAATCTGGCACTGTGAGATAAGACATTATCCGAGCTGAAACGGAGATCCTAAATTCAAAAACAGCAACAAAACAATACAGCACAATAGCTCGGAAAGATTAGCATGACAGCAACCACTGCAGCAAGGGAGACAGACTGAAAAGTCAGCTAAGGAGGGAACCGAGATGGCTGCTCTGCAGGTAAAGGCACTTGCTGCTCAAGCCTGGTGACCTGTTTGAATCCACAGAACCCACAGAAGATGGAAGGAACCAACGCTACAAAGTTGACCTCTGACCTCCATATGCCCATCATGGGGCATGTGTACACACATCACCACCATCATTATCATAATAATAAATAAAAAGTGTTTAAAATCAGTTTAGGAAGACAGACCCTGACACCACACAAACTAATCTCAAACACTTTTATTTACTCTAGAAAAACACACATAGGGATAAATGCTTCTGTTTCAAAGACTTGTGAATGATTCCAGCATTGGAGACTGACTGATGCAGGAAAGAGAAGAAAGCAAGCAAGAAAGAAAGGCAGGTAGATCAGGGCTGGAGGGACATCTCAGCAATTAAGGGAACTTGTTGCTCTTGCAGAGGACCCAGGTTCAGTTTCCAACACCCACATGGCAGCTCACTACCTGTAACTCCAATTCCAGGGGATCCAGGGCCCTCTTCTGACCTCTGAAGGAACTAGGCATGCCTGTGGTACACAAACATATATTCAAGCAAAACTCTTATATGCATAAAATAAATAAATCTCTTTTTAAAATGTTTTGGACATGTAGGGTGGCACATGCCTTTAATCCTAGGCGCAGGCAAGAGACAGAGGCAAGAGGATCTATGTGAGTCCAAGGGCAGTCTAGTCTATAGAGCAAGTTGTCCAGGACAACCAGGACAAACAGAGAAAGTTTAATGTGCTGGGAGAGGTGGCTCAGTGACTAAGAGCACTTGGTTCACCATGTTAAGGAGGACTCCCAGCAAATGCCAGTAACCTCGCTGCATGAATGGGTCAGAAACAGGAGGATTGTGGGATTTCCTTGCTGGCTTCCAACCTATTAAATACCCTGCTTCAGAGGAACAAGCAGAAAGTGATCAAGGAGGATACCTGAAGCCCTCTTCTGGCCTCTGTGCACACACAGGCACATAACATAACACACAAATAAACAAACATCTTTTTAAAAATAACTGGACCAGTGAGATAGCTCAGTGGATAAAGATGAATCCTTGGCAATGTGTGTCTGATCCCCAGGTCCCACGTGAAGGCAAAGAGAACTGACTCCAAAGTTGTCTTCTGACCACCACACAGGCTCTGTGACACATGTGTGAGCATACACGACTCATGTGCACACGGACACACAATAATAAACACCAGTAAGTATGCATTATCCTGATGCTGATATACATACACAATGTGATCCTAAAACTGTGTATGCTTCATATAACACGTATAGAAGAATTACAACTATGATGCAAACACAGGAGAGCTGGGAGAGACACGCCAGAGGGCAGCTCTGATATCCATCTGCACTGAGGACGTCGGGATGAGGAAGACTAAATTTGGTTGTCTTACTGCATCGTCCTTAAGCCAAACCAAACAAACAAAACAAAAAAGCCAGGCAGCTGTTGAGATGGCTAAGTAGGTAGGGCACCTGCCACCAAGCCTGATGGTCTGAGTGTAATCCCCACACACGGGATTATGCTAGAGATGCTTGCCATGTGCCAGTTCCGCTATAAACACCTGCCAACAATACATGATCTAGAGATTTAATCCTCACAGCAACCCCAGAAGGCGGGCTCTCACAGCCTCCCCTCTTTATGAAAACCCTCAGGTGGAGGAAGAGGATGCTGGAAGACCCAAGCGATTCCTTCTCTCCTCCACTCCACACTCCACAGCCACCTAGCAGCGGATGAGTGAGGCCCGGCCCAGCAGCCCTGACAATCCTCACTTTGGCTCTGTTAACCCATGATGGATGGTGTTCAGAGATGAAGGAGGCAAATTCTGCCTCCTCGCCAAAAAGGAACTCCTTAGTCCTGGGAAAATGCTCTGGAGGCAGGCATGCTGTGAGACATTCTGTCCCTGGTCAGTCTCAGAGGAAAGGCAGAGGAACAGAGAACAAAGACCTCTCCTTCTTTTGCTCAATTAAAGGTTTAGGGGAAAAATATTCAAAGCTCCAGTTGACACTGTTCACCAGAGTTTCATCTCTTTTGAAGTTACCCATTTTTCTGATACTGGTTTTAGAATATCCAAGAGGAAATCAGCACATTCTTCAAGAATGCACATTTCAGCACTTTCCCATGCTCATCTGTCTTTCATAAGTACATCAGGTGACCTGTTCTGCAGTGGGGACCATAAACGCCATACTTACATCTGCCCAGATGTTCCAAGCTTTCTTGGCTTTCCCTATGGTTTCTTCATAGTCTTTCATGCTGGCCTAAGTCAAGAATGAGAGTGAGGGAAAAAAATGAGAAAGTACAAGTGAGAAAGAAAAAAAAGAAGCTGTGTCTGCATATACTGATTGGCTGATTAGAACTGCACACAGGGACAGTTGGTGTTGGCGCACACCTTTGATCCCAACACTCGGGAAGCAGAGGCAGGTGGATCTCTGTGATTTTAAGAGCAGCTTGGTCTACAGAGACAGTTCTAAGACAGCCAGGGCTACACAGTGAAACCCCGTCTCAAAAAAACAAAAATGAATCAATTAAGTAAGTAATCAATGCAGAGACGTTGGAATGTTGCAAATCCTGAGCCTAATTACCTTATTCTGGGCTAGTTTTCACCCCCTTGAATAAGCCATTCCTTGCTCACCCTGGTGTCCGTCAGAACTCCCATGTCATGACTTAAGAACTGACATTCTATGACTAACCAACAAAAACCTTTTGAAATCTATCAGCTTAGCAGATCACTAGTTCCCACTAACCCAAAAGCTAAAGAATGCCATCAGCAGATACTGTCCCCATCTTACCATCACCACCGCTCTGAGGTGTACCAATGTATTTTTAAATTGCTTTGGTATACAACTTTATCCTTCTGCAGCTATAAAACTCTATGGAGCAGCTTCCCTGGGGAAACAACCTGCGTTTCCCAGGCATGAAGGTCACTCAAATTTGGCTCCAGAATAAGCTATTTCCTGTTCCCTGTATGGTAGGAGCTATGGTTTTCACATTGATCACACATACTCGCCTTCTAGAACATACAAACATCTTTGCAAAAGAAGTGGAAACTTTCTTACTGTCCCTAAGACTCATGGACGATACTGATCTCAACAGCCTACAATCCTAACGTCTGTTTACAAAGCTGGAGTCGTAGCTCAGAGCAAAGCTCACCTCTAGCATGGTTGAAGCCCTGGGTTCAATTCCCAGCATGGGAGCAGGGAACGTGTATTCAATTAAACTAAAGTGGACCTCTGGAGTTGACTCAGAAGCAATACCCAGAGGGAGACTAGGAATGTAGTCCAACTTGTCCAGCATGTATGAAGCTCTGGGTTCAAGCCCCATCATAAACCGAGTACAGTCCTGCAGGCCTATAGCTAAGTTCAAAGTCACTGTTAACTATACAGCATGATCAACCCTAGCCTGGGCTACATCTGATCTTCTATCCAAAGAACAATAAAGAGACCTTTTGCCTTATCCTCTCTATGATTCACCTTTTCTAGCTAATTCCACAGAGCAAGGATGGGCAGTCTCTGTAGACAGTCTCAGAATGAAAAAGAACTTCGTGAGTCTGTACATCTGTGCTGCCCGTAATCTTTGCCTCTAAAGAACGCCAGCACAGTTCCCTGCAACAGCTTGAATTTTTATAACTTACCTGTCGGACTCTTGCTATTGGCTCATTGTTAGCAGGACAATAGGTCGTAATTACCTTGAAACACACAAACAAACAAAAAGTGACAATCATACATAGAAATTATAATCATTACCAAGATAAAAAAAATAAAAGTAAAATAGGAGCCTTCAGGCTAACTTCTGCTATGACTAACCCACTCTTCAGAACAGTCTTGAGTTTCTCACCTTCTCATTAGAAACTTTCTGTAAGATCCATGTATTGGTCATCTAAATACGACATTCAGAGGCATATACACAACACACCTAACCTTCAATGTAGCCACAACTGACAAGTTTAACAAACTGCTTTTCCACCTTACTCTGCCTACCCTCTGGTCTGGAAACAGAACGCCTAAGTCCAGACAAACTACAAAAAGGCCTATGTTAATGAAACTGGAGTCTCTCCAGAAAAAAAAAAAAAAAAAGACAAAACTAAAGAACACCTAAAAGATTAGGTTTTATCAAAAGACACTAATAAACAGATGATGCCACAGAGAAGCAGGCGGAGGATTCAGGTCAGTGGTAGAGTGCTTGCCGAGGGTACACACGCCCTGGGTTCAAGTCCAAACACCAAAAAGACAAAAGAGACAAGGGGGCGAAACTCCCAATTTCATGGTAGCAATTAAAATCACCTGTATCTCCTATAGCCCAGGGGAGCCAAAAAGTTGCTTTTCCTGTAACAAAGCAGGTTCTAGTAGAGTTGAAATGTCATGTTTCTGAAAAAACTTTATTTCCCTTTTAAGTATGAGACACTCTCCTAAGTTTGGGGCAACCAGAACCTTACCTGTCCACTGAATGTTTTATCACGGTGCTAAGTCTGGGCAATAAATAATGAAAATCAAATCTTCACGGGGAGAAAGTTCACAAGATTTCAGCCAGGACGAGCTTGTTACAGATCCCAAGCAAGACTGCCATACGGTTTAAGAAAGCATTGAAATTTAGCCTTCCTAGCAGCTCCCAAACGCCATCGACTCCTCACAGCGCTAAAATCTAAATTCGATTCTTCTTGCCTTTCTCCATTAGAAAACTTCTGCTGTACAACTTTAGAACTTCCCATCCCGGTCTATCCTCCCTCAGCTCCAGTTGGGAGGTGGGAAGGGAGACGCCCGCCTTGCGGCCTCCTGGGCAAACCTTGGCTACAATTTTCCGGGACGCCAGCATACCTCTCCCCGGCCTCCCCAGCTTCCATTATACACTCCATCGTTTTCCTCGCGGAGCCCCAGGTCTTGCAGCCAGGCATACTGGGGATGATGGATCAGCAGAGTGGACATGAGGGCGGCAGGCCTCCTCCAAGGGCGGGAAAGCTTGCTGGCCTTCACAGTCTGCACGCAGAGCCGGCGAGCCTGACGCCACATAACGAGCTCAGCAAGCTAGAAGCCCCTACCGCAGGGCAGTCCGGGAAATACAGCCCCGCCCCCCGCCCAGGAGTGTCCACTTGGCAGGCCCCGCCCCCTACCTGGTTCATTGGGAGGCCGTCCCCCAGCCCCTTCTGCGAGCGCTCATTGGGCAGACCCCTCCCCCGGGGAGCCCATTGGACAGCCTTGCTCCACCCCAACACGCCCCCTGCCCACCCCCATCCTCTCCGGCTGGGCTCGTCCGGATCTTATGCTCTGGGTAAAGTGGCTGCCTCAGGGTCTGGGGCGGGGACGGGGTTGAGAGGGCGGGGACTGCGCCATCCGCTACTTCTGAAGTCCGCTATGTGCGAGCCAAGCTTTCAAATCACCGCACGCTGCTGGGCGGTACTACGCTCAGGGCTCCGGTGTTCTGGGCATGCTCATTCCGTGGATCTGGGCTGGGACCTGAAAAATCTCAGCATTTCTAGTCAGCACTCAATTAGCGATGACGTACTGATCTCCGTTGTAGCCCAGGGAGGTTTTTCAGTGTATAGAGGTTTAAAGGTTATTTTCACTGCTTTGGTAAATTACAAATATTTCCTAATAAGTGGAAAGTATCACATGATTGCTCCGCCTTCTAAATATGCTGCCTCGGTACATTCTTACTTTTAAAGAACAAACATCGTTTTAATCAATGTCCTTCACTCTCTCCATGTCTTTTTTTCTGCAATATCCTTGCCCCTCCCTCTCTTAGAATAACTGTGTCATTCCTCAATAACCAGGCCTATCTATATGAGGGAAATCCTAGCATCTCATCAGCACTAGCCACATACATTCAAATTAAATAGGTGCCACCGTGACATCCAGCCTGTTACTCATTTTGCCATTCCCAGGCCATGTCAGGTCTCTCAATGATTCCCCGCCTATGTGTTCAATATGCTTCGATTGCTTTCTACTCTGCAGCCAAAGTCACAAAAAGATACAAATAGGAAAGGAAAAATCAAAAACTATACTTATTTGAATATAATATACATGACCTTTTATTTAAAAATCTCTAAAGATTATACCAGATGCATCTAATGTCTGTTAACACTTTTAGCAAAGCAATTAGATACAAAATCAATATACAAAAATCATTGGACTTTTTTTTAAGACAAAGTCTTACATAGCATAGACTGGCCTTCTGCTCACTATGAGGATGATCTTAACGCCTACCTCTGCCACCTGAGTGCTGAGATTATAGGCAGGTGCAAATGTGCCTGACTCTACACTGCTAGGAACTAAAGCCAGGGCTTCGTGTATGCTGGGCACACAGTCTACCAATGTAGCTACCTGACTAATCTAGTGGCTTCTCTATATAGCAATAAGAAACATGCTGAGGAAGAAGAAAAACAACCTCACTGGCCATAGCAACAATAATGATAGTAATATAATAATAATAATAATAATAATAATAATAATAGGTTCCATCTCCAGCATGCATAACAAAGCTGGATATAGAAACCACGAAGACAAAGAGAGACAGTTTAGACAGTGAGCAATAGAAGGACGGGAGAAGGAGAAGAGGAGGTAAGTGTGAGCCAAGGAAACCTACATACACACATGCAGGAGAATGTCATAAGGAGACCTGTTTCTACAATGAAAATGCACTGGGGCTGGAGAAATGGCTTTGCGGTTGGGAGCATTGGCTGCTCTTCCAGAGGACCCAGGGTTCAATTCTCAGCACCCCCACAGTGGCTCACAACTGTCAGTAACTCCAGATCCAGGAGACTTAACACCCTCACACAGACATACATGCAGGCAAAACCTACCAAGATAGATTATTTAAAAATTTATAAAATTTTTTAATAAAAACAAATTATTTTTAAAAAGAAAGAAGATACATGATTTTTAAACATACATTTAAAAAAGGGTGGCTTAGAGGAGCCAGAGGGATATATATATATCAAAGAATATATGAAATATATATTTTAAGAATATAAAAAAATACTTTTTAAAAGGGATGGCAAACACTTAACTCCTATGAGTGGAGAATTTGCCATTATAATGAGCAAAACATACTCCAGGTCACCTCAAAAGAATGCACCCAAGTGACCTGCAGGTGTGGAATGGTTGGTTACAAGGACTTGTGGAGTCAGAACCATCACCACCAGCAGCCCCCCAGCCCACCCCACCCCCAACATTTATAACAATATAGGGTCAAACTGTCCTCGGTAGGACAATTAAAAAGACAATAAATGGTTCAAAGGGTAGAGGCACAGAAGGCCTGAGTTCAATCCCCAGCACCATGTGGTAGAAGGAGAGAACTGACTCTAGCAAGCTGTCCTCTGACCTGTACACACAGGTCATGGCATGTACTTATGCATACACTTGCCCATGCCCACCCACACACTAAATATACAAATAAATGTATTTAATTTTTTAATAACTAAAAATGAAAAGACAAGTAATAGTGAAAATCAAAGAAAGAGATTTGAAGCTCAGCAGTCACAAGCACTTGATGCTCTCACAGAAGACTTGAGTTTGATTTCCAGGACCCACATTGGGTGGCTTATAAAGGCAGTGGCCTGTAACTCCAGCTCTAAGGATCTGACCTCTGGCCTTTGGAGGCATCTGTGTGTGCACCCACACAGACACAGACACACACACACATTAAAAACGAAAATAAGATTGCAGTCACATCACCAGTCTTGTAAGAGGACAGCAGCTTTTCCCTAGTATGCACATGAGCTTGTTCCCTAAAAGTACCTGCAATGCCTAGGGCTAACATTCTTAATTACCACCATATGCAACTAATTCAAATTACTGCAGACCCAAAAGTAAGAGTTAAAACTCTTAGAAAAAAAGTATTAAAAAACAAGACTTTCTTTGCTGTGACAAAGTGTTTAGTTATATCCTTAGCTATCCACGGAATCCATACATTGCCACGGTTAGAAACAGCACAGGGACTCTGAAGCTGCTATCCCCCAAAGCCTGACTCTTCACTCCGGCCTGAAGACAGCGGTAGGAAGGCCTTGTATCTCTGTCTTCATTTCCTATGTGTCTCTATACTGCTTTGGCATTTTAGATCACACTCCTGCTTGACTCCACACTTTAACATTTCCTAACAGTCCACTCGGCTATTAATTCATCAGTAGGTTGATGAGATTAGCTTTCTTATAATCTGTCACCTCGGCACCATTCAGTGACCAAGCTTTCAACACATGAGCTTTTGGGGTCATTTAATAGTAAGATCATGACACATGCCTCCTCTCAGGACACATATTCCACTGGGGGGGGGGGCCCGGGGGGGGCTGGAACTTGTAGTGTAACTGACCAGATGACCACACTTTTCCGGTCATGTCCATTCCTAAAAAGCCAGTTGTAACTGGGCACAGCAGTGCTTGCCTTTAATCCCAGCACTCAGGAGGCAGAGGCAGGCAGATCTCTGAGTTTGAGGCTATCTTGGTCTACAGAGCAAGTTTTGGGCTAACAGGGCGACACAAAGAAACCCTGTCTGGAGAAACAAAACAAGCAGAGAGGGGGAGGGAGGGAGGGAGGGAGGGAGGGAGGGAGGGAGGGAGGGAGGGAGGGAGGGAGGGACAGAGATTGCAAAGTGTAAGAATTCAATGAAAGAATCAAGACTTTGCCCAAAAGATAACTTTAAAACTTTGTTATTTAAGCCCTTACCCTAAAATCCAGTTTACATTTCCTGCTTACTGAACGTCAAAAAATTTCAACACTACTAAAAAAAACAAAAACCAGGAACAGATGGCCTACAGAGATAAAGTTCATTTTCCCAAAGACAAGGAAGGACACTGAAAACAAATGCACTAAGCAGTTTAGGGCCAGAATGTCTGGAAGTTTGAGTTTTACTAGGTTAGCACTCCTCTCTCATCTTTAAATTTAAACTATGGACCTGAGGGGCTGGAGAGATGGCTCAGCAGTTAAGAGCACTGGCTACTCTACCAGAGGTCTTGAGTTCAATTCCCAGTAGCCACATGGTGGCTCACAACCATCTGTAATGGGATCTGACACCTTCTTCTGGCACACAGGTGTACAGGCAGATAGGGCACTCATATACATCAAATAAATAAACAAACAAAAACTATGGACCTGGCTAAAAAAAAAAAAATCCCTTTACAAGAAGAAAATTTCCTTTACAAAAAGAAAGTTTTTTGGATGTAGGGCAAGTAGGAGCATTTTATTTCATTCTTAATATTTGTTGTATCTTTAGACCTTGCTGTAAATTACTTTTCTTTGCGTAATGTAACAAAGTTGCAACTCCACGATCCACTGTGGTGACAGAAAAGCACAACTTTCTGTTGCGCTCACGCCCATCTTGAGTGTGGACTGCCCTTCCCCCACCTCTCACAGTGGCCAGCACTCAATCTGCAGTATGCACTATCCCTTATTTTTACCAAGCTTGCTAACTTTGCTTCTCTCTGGTCCTGAAATTCTTTTCCACTGTGCAGTCAAGGATTTAACTTTACCTGAATTATATCCCTCCAGTGAGATCCCTCAGGCTATGGGGAAGCATTGCTGGCCTATGTCTCACCACCAGAGTGGTGACATTTGACAATTACCATGGCAATAGTCACAAAGAGAAAGGGGAGGTGGGGAGGGAGGAGAAAAGGGAAAGAAAGATTTAGATAAAGAGACAGCTCTTTGAAATATTCTCATTTCTGCCAGGATAAATGTTATGAGTTCATATGAGTGTGCGTGCATGTGTCCAGAAGACAGAGATCAATATTGGGTATCTTCCTCCATCACACTCCATCTTATATACTGAGGCATCTCTCACATGAACCCAGGGTTTGATGATCCAGCTTGTCGCCCTAGTCAGCATTCCCTGGGAATCTCCTGTCTCTTCCTCCTAAGTGCTAGAATCACAGGTGAGCTGCCATGCCCACTTGCATCTTAAGTGAGGACTCAGGATCTGAACTCAGGTACTCATTGCTGTAGGACAAGCACTTTCCCTAATGAGTCATCTCCCAGCCCAACATTTCTTACATATTCTAGAAACAAACCCCTCAAAGTATGAACCCTGCCTGGTATGGAGGCTTATGCCTTTAATCTCA